TTTTTTTCTTTAAATTCCCTGAAGTAAGTCTCAGTTTCTAAAGATTTCTTAATAAAAAGCCAAAGATAAAGAGAACCAATTGCGATTCAAACATTGAGATGCCTTTTGGGCAAAAAGAAAAAAATCAATCTCTACTACGAGTAGGGTTTGAACCCACGAGGACATTTGTCCATTGGATCTTAAGTCCAACGCCTTAACCTCTCGGCCATCCTGGTCATATATGAAAACTTGATTTTAAAAAAGTTCTGGTTAGGTTCTTTTTTTTTCTTTAAATTCCCTGAAGTAAGTCTCAGTTTCTAAAATTTTCTTAATAAAAACCCAAAGATAAAGAGAACCAATTGCGAATCAACAATGAGATGCCTTTTGGGCTAAAAGAAGGTAATCAATCTCTACCAGGCGTGGGGTTTGAACCCACGAGGACAATTGTCCATTGGATCTTAAGACCAACGCCTTAACCTCTCGGCCATCCTGGTCTTATATGCATAAAAACCTGGTTAAATTCTTTTTTTTCTTTAAATTCCCTGAAGTAAGTCTCTGTTTCTAAAAATTTCTTAATAAAAACCCAAAGATAAAGAGAACCAATTGCGAATCAACAATGAGATGCCTTTTGGGCTAAATGAAGGGAATCAATCTCTACCAGGAGTGGGGTACGAACCCACGAGGACATTTGTCCATTGGATCTCAAAAGTCCACTTCCTTAACCTCTAGGCCACCCTGCTCATATATGAAATTTTGATTTGAAAGTCCTGGTTAAATTCTTTTTTTTTAATTTAAATTCCCTGAAGTAAGTCTCAGTTTCTAAAAATGTTTTTAATAAAAACCCAAAGATAAACAGAACCAACTTGCGATTTAAACATAGAGATGCCTTTTGGGCTAAAAGTAGGAATCAATCTCTACCAGGAGTGGAGTTCGAACCCAGAAGGACATTTGTCCATTGCATCTTTTGTCTAACACCTTAACCTCTAGGCCATCCTGGTAATATATAGCAAATAACTGAAAAGTTCTGGTTAAATTCTTTTTTTTAATTTAAATTCCCTAAAGTAAGTCTCAGTTTCTAAAAATTTCTCAATAAAAACCCAAAGATAAAGAGAACCAATTGCGAATCAACAATGAGATACCTTTTGGACTAAAAGAAGGAATCAATCTCTACCAGGAGTGGGGTTCGAACCCACGAGGACATTTGTCCATTGGATCTTAAGACCAACGCCTTAACCTCTCAGCCATCCTGGTCTTATATGCAGAAAGATTTTGGTTAAATTCTTTTTTTTTTTAAATCCCTATATTTTGTCTCAGTTTCTAAAAATGTCTTAATAAAAACTCAAAGTTATTTAGAATCAATTTGCAAGTCAAACATTGAGATGCCTTTTGGACTAAAAGAAGAAATCAATATCTACCAGAAGTGGGGTTCAATCTCACGACAACATTTGTCAATTGGATCTTAAAAGTCCACCTCCTTAACCTCTAGGCCACCCTGGTCATATATGAAATTTTGATTTGAAAGTCCTGGTTAAATTCTTTTTTTTTCTTTAAATTCCCTGAAGTAAGTCTCAGTTTCTAAAGATTTCTTAATAAAAACCCAAAGATAAAGAGAACCAATTGCGAATCAACAATGAGATACCTTTTGGACTAAAAGAAGGAATCAGTCTCTACCAGGAGTGAGGTTCGAACCCACGAGGACATTTGTCCATTGGATCTTAAGACCAACGCCTTAACCTCTCGGGGATCCTGGTCTTATATGCAGAAAAGTCCTGGTTAAATTCTTTTTTTTTCTTTAAATTCCCTGAGGTAAGTCTCAGTTTCTAAAAATTTCTTAATAAAAACCCAAAGATAAAGAGAACCAATTGCGAATCAACAATGAGATGCCTTTTGGGCTAAAAGAAGGTAATCAATCTCTACCAGGAGTGGGGTTTGAACCCACGAGGATATTTGTCCATTGGATCTTAAGACCAACGCCTTAACCTCTCGGCCATCCTGGTCTTATATGCATAAAAACCTGGTTAAATTCTTTTTTTTCTTTAAATTCCCTGAAGTAAGTCTCAGTTTCTAAAAATGTTCTTAATAAAAACCCAAAGATAAACAGAACCAACTTGCGATTTAAACATAGAGATGCCTTTTGGGCTAAAAGTAGGAATCAATCTCTACCAGGAGTGGAGTTCGAACCCAGAAGGACATTTGTCCATTGCATCTTTTGTGTAACACCTTAACCTCTAGGCCATCCTGGTAATATATAGCAAAAGACTGAAAAGTCCTGGTTAAATTCTTTTTTTTAATTTAAATTTCCTGAAGTAAGTCTCAGTTTCTAACAATTTCTTAATAAAAACCCAAAGATAAAGAGAACCAATTGCGAATCAACAATGAGATGCCTTTTGGGCTAAAAGAAGGCAATCAATCTCTACCAGGAGTGGGGTTCGAACCCATGATGACATTTGTCCATTGGATCTTAAGACCAACACCTTAACCTCTCGGGCATCCTGGTCTTATATGCAGAAAAGTCCTGGTTAAATTCTTTTTTTTTTCTATAAATTCCCTAAAGTAAGTCTCAGTTTCTAAAAATTTCTTAATAAAAACCCAAAGATAAAGAGAACCAATTGCGAATCAACAATGAGATACCTTTTGGACTAAAAGAAGGAATCAGTCTCTACCTGGAGTGGGGTTCAAACCCACGAGGACATTTGTCCATTGGATCTTAAGTCCAACACCTTAACCTCTCGGCCCTCCTGGTCTTATATGCAGAAAGATTTTGGTTAAATTCTTTTTTTTTTTTAAATCCCTATATTTTGTCTCAGTTTCTAAAAAATTTCTTAGTAAAAACCCAAAGATAAAGAGAACCAATTGCGAATCAACAATGAGATGCCTTTTGGGCTAAAAGAAGGCAATCAATCTCTACCAGGAGTGGTGTTCGAACCCATGATGACATTTGTCCATTGGATCTTAAGACCAACACCTTTACCTCTCGGGCATCCTGGTCTTATATGCAGAAAAGTCCTGGTTAAATTCTTTTTTTTTTCTATAAATTCCCTAAAGTACGTCTCAGTTTCTAAAAATTTCTTAATAAAAACCCAAAGATAAAGAGAACCAA